GGCCACGCTCCCCATTCCTCCCCAGCTCACTGTCAGGACAGACCTGCTGCTTGCAGTACAGAATCACAGGCTCATTAAGATTGGAAAACACCTCCAAGATCACTGAGTCCAACCCCTAACCCAGCACTCAAAGGTCCACCATTGAAACATGTCCCCATAGGCTGCATCAATACGTTTTCTGAACACTTCACGGGATGGTGACTCCCCCACTCCCCTGGGTACCCTATTCCAATGCTTAACCACTATTTCAGTGAAGAAAATTTTGCTGATATCCGACCTAAACCTTCTCCACCATAGCTTGAGGTCATTTTCTCTCATCCTGTCCCTGTTCTCCAGGAGCAGAGCCCGGCCCTTCCCTGGCTGCCCCTCCTGTCAGGGAGTTGTGCAGAGCCAGAAGGTCCTCCCTGAGCCCCCTTTTCTCCAGGCATGGAGCCCCTTCCCAGCTCCATTCCCTGCCCTGGTCATGCTCCAGCAGGGACAGCTCCCAGGAGAGATGAGCATTCTTAATTCAAACACTGCACAGGAGCCCACACTTAAAACACATTTAAATGCAAGATATATTACCTAAAATGATAAGTGGTAACTGTCTTGGAGAGGCTATTTGTAATGACTCAGACTCTTGAAATCCCAGAGATTGCTCCAGTTGGTCCCCTGAAATCCCCACCCACTAACTTACAAGATACAGTTGATATTCAGCTCATCCTGGCAAGCAGAAGTTGCTACATAATGGAGCAGGCATGGAAAATATAACACTTATTACCTGAGACACAATCAACCACAATAATTGCAGTAAAATCTAGGTTCTAGATATTTCTGATGTACTGCAGTGACAATGCAGTAGCCAAAAAAGCAGCTTTACTTTTCCAGAGAAAGCAGTGCTCCCCTGGCCTGCCAGGCTTTAGACAGCAGAACAGAGAAAAGTTGCATTAAAGCTGGAAATTATCAGTAACAACCCCCCACATTTTATGTACTATTGGTATCTTCTATTTCAGTTCCTCTAATTAGTTCTGGAAATACTTAAAATACCATTCTGGTTTGAAAGGATGGCCCTGAGGCATAGGCTGGCTCAGGTGACTTACTTGGGACCACAGGGCTGCTGGCCTTATCGGGCCCTGCAGCACACAGAACCTCTGCCATCTCATGTTGGGAAAGATCTCCCCAGTTACAATCCCAAACACACAGGAACGGCAGTGCAGGATCTGGCCTGGCTCTGGTGATGGCACAGAGCAAACTGAGGGCCAAGGTGGAGGCACCTGAACACTGTCTGAAGGATGGAGGAACTCACTCCATGGAGGAGCTCCTGCAGGACCAAGCCCCAGCTCTGGGGTGGGAGAGCCACATGCCTACAGCGCTGGGCTGGAGCTCCTAAAGCTGTCAGCTCCCAGAGCTAGCTCTGCTCTCGCGCCCCAGCTGGGTTAATCTGCAGCTCACACGGCTGCCCATGGGTCACCAAGGGGACAGAGGGTACCGGCACTTGTGGCTCAGCCACCTCCCACTCCAGGAGACATTGCGTTACAGCAGGAAAACTGTGCTCAGGGAATGGAGCTGCTTCCTAAAACCTCCCTCTCAAATCCAGCTTGTGTCTTAAGAAATGCTTGTGAATTGGGTAAGGCACAGGGAAGGGAAAATATCCAGGCAGATTAGGTAACTTTGCCTCATTATAACTTTAGCAGTGTAAATGCACGGACATCCAAATTGGAAAAATAAATAAAAGTTAGGAGATACAACATTGATTCCACATGTCTGATCCACCAGTGCATACTGATACAAGATCAAAACAATTCATTCTGTAGGTAAGTGAATTTCTCACCCTAATTTCCATTCTTCTGCTGCCCTACCCTCCTTAGCATGGGCATTCACTGGACACTGCTGTCTCTGAGGAACATAGCTGCTCTGGGAAGTTTTGCAGAGAAACTTGGGATACCTTCCACTGTCCCTGGGTGCTCCAAGCCCTGTCCAACCTGGCCTTGGACACTTCCAGGGATCCAGGGGCAGCCACAGCTTCTCTGGGCACACTGTGTGAGGCAGAGCAGCCACAGGGAAGGGCTGAGACGGACACGGCTCCATGGCAGAGCCCAG